TTGGGACTGGATAATTCTTTGTCGAGGACCCTGTGATTAGCTGCTAACTGGAAGGTTGGCAGAGGGAACCCATCCAATGGCTCCACAGAAGAAAGGCCTGGTGACCTGCTTCTGTAAAGATTGTAGCCAAGGAAACCCTATGGGACAGTTCTGCTCTGTCACATAGGTCTGCTGTGAGTTGGGGGCTGACTTGAAGGCAGCTTACAGCAACAACAACAATTATTTGCTGTGGGGGTTGCTGTCCTGTACATTGTAGACTGTTCAGCAGCAAGTTGAGCATCCTTTATCTATGAGATGCCAGTAGCACTCCCCACCCTACCCCCACCCCCTGGGGAAGTGTGACAACCAAAAATGTTTCCAAACACTGCCAAATGTCTCCTGGGAGGCAAAATCTCTCCCTGCCAAGAACCACTGGGTTAGGAGATGAGAGTAACATGTCTCAGTCTTGGCTTAAAATCTTCAAATGGCCATGCTTAGAAGGGACCATAAAAATTATCTAGCCCAAATCCCACATTTTAAGAGAAATTGGGCCTTGGAGAGCTAAAGAATCTTAAGGTTACACAGGAGAGCAGCATGATGAAAGAGATGTTTTAGAAAAAGGATTCAGGCAGCACTATGCAGGCTGTGCTGAAAAACAGAGGCCAGAAGCAGGCAGGGGACCATACGCCATAGTCTTGAGGGGGAGGCAAAGGGCTAAGGTGGGTTGTCTCGGTGCCTTTCAGCCATCAGTCAGTGGCTCAGTGGCTCACTCACAGGTCTTCTAGGGAGCAGGTGGTATAGAAGGAGTTTTGTACCTGAAACTGAGAGACCAATCACATTCTGGTCCCAACCAAACAGTGTGACAGGGGCCACCATGTTACCTCATAGTTTCCTTTTCTGTAAAATCAAGGCCTGGTCTTTGAGTGTTATTCTTGCCTAGAGGCTCTGCTAGTTCTGGGTCATCCCAAGATGGCAACAGAGGGTTTGTCTCTGAAGAGAATCCTGAAGATGTGGTAGGATGTGCAGTAGCCCTGTCCCCCTGCTCCCCACACCCCCACATTGCACTGCAGGATCCCATTCACTTGGGGCTCAATGTTAGACAAAGAAGGTGTCTTGATGGGAGTGGACAGGCAGGAGGGTTTTGAGAGGAAGGCTTGCCAGGACTTAGTCACAGGCAGCTTACAGAGACTGCCCCAGCTGCAGGCAGCAGACCTTACCTGGGTCTTAGCCTGGAGCATGATGGAGCCCAGGACAGGAAGTGAGAAGGGAAACAGGGGAGAGGGCAACAGTTACGTTCTCTGAGTGGCGAACCCCTTGGGGAGCTTGCAGATAGAATCAAAGAACATATTGTATAAAGTCAGAGAACCAACTTTAACAGAAATAAATGACCAGTTCATGGAGTTTCTAAACTGTCAAAATCTTCCCAGATGGAGGCTCCTTGACCTTACCGCACCTCCCATGAGGGAAGGGAAGTTAGAGGCACAGAGGTCCCCTCTACCAGGCCCACTCCTAGTGAGAAGGATATGGCTTCTGGGAAAAGCTATACTCAGAACTTTTTCCAGGCCTGGTGAGGACTCAGACTGTGAGATGCTGGGGATCCTTGGGGTGTTTCCAGCTTCAGGGTGGGGGCATCTCTTAGCTCCAGGGGTCTCAGAGCCAAGTCCCTTTGTTTCAGGCCGCTCTGCCTATATGCATAGACAGCCCTGGGCTTTCCACTTACTCAATCCAGGGTCTGGCTTTTAGAGCCATAAATCTTCGCATGAAAATCATGAATTTTCCATGGTATGATTAATGAAAGAAAAATTGAGACGGCAGCATAGTAACTGACCAGATTGAAGAAAGTCAGAGTGACAAGTTGGATGAAAGTTTCAGCATGTCACTGGCAAACCCAAAAAGCTTCTGAGCCAGCCTGGAGCGCCACCTAGTGCTTGCAGAGTGTGGCGGCACCATTGCCCCTGCAGAGCTTGGAGGACTCCCTAGTTGGATGGTTGTTCTGAGCCTGCGTGTGGCTATGCCTTCAGAGCCTTGACCTAGTTCTTCCTCTAAAGGAGGCACAGGACCACTCTGCAATGTGGGACACCCAGGCAGCTGCTCCAGTTGCCTGACTCCAGTCCCCTTACAGGATTTTGGTTCAGCAACACATGGAAAGATCCCCACTTGTTTCTTCATGCCCTTCTTTCTGTTTCCTCATTTATCACAATCCTACTCATTCTTCAAAGCAAGCCCTGTTGGTATTACCTTCAAACTAGATCTCATACTGACCATTCCTTCCCTCTCCTCCACAGCTACCCTGCTGTAAGTTGCCACCAGCTCATGCTTGATCAGTATAGTGTTCACTGGTCTAAGTGATATTACCTTGTCACCGACTGCTCTCCACTCTCCCTCCCTGCCTCCCAATGGTCTGTTCTTTGCACAGCAGCGAGAGTAGTCTATTGGAAAAAAGATCATGCCACTTCCCTATTCCAAGGGTTTCCCATCACACTAAGAACAACATCCACAATTTCTTCCCTGATCTGTCCCATGGCTGCCCTACCTATTGAGTCTCCCATTCTTTTCTCCCCATGACTCTGTTGCAGCCACTATGGGAAGCTTGCTCTTCCTTCAGCCAGCCAAACTCATTTCCACATCAGGGCTTTTGTACTTGCTGTTCTCTGTCTAAGAAGCTCTGGTGGTATAGTGGTTAAGGTGTTGGCTGCTAATGAAAAAGGTCACCGATTCAAGCCCACCAGCTTGCTCCATGGAAGAAAGATGTGGCAGTCTGCTTACATAAAGAGTTACAGCCTTGGAAACCCAATGGAGGTCATTGTGAGTTGGAATCCACCAATGGCAGTGAATTTGGTTTTGGTTTTGGTTCCCTATCTAGAATACTCTTCCCTCAAGGTATTTGTGTAACTCCCTCCCTCCTCATTTGGGTTCCTATTCAAATGTCACCTTTTCCAAGAGGCCTTTCCTGACCATTCTACCCCTAGTTACTTTTTAACTCCTTACCCATTTTTATTTTTCTTCATGGCACGTATCAGCCCCTGGAATTCTGTTATATTTTGCTTAAGTGATATTTGTGTTCTCTGTAAAAATCTAGAGTCCCTGGATGATGCTAACAGTTAACATGCTCTGCTGCTAACCCAAAGGTTGGGGGTTCAAGTCTACCCAGAGGTACCTTGAAATCAAGGCCTGGCAGTCTATTTCTGAAAAAACAGCTAGAGAAAACTCTATGGAGCACACGGGGCAGTCATGAGCTGGAACTGACCAGATGGCAACTGAACTATAAGAATCTACCCTTCCTGAGGGTAGGGTCTTTGCTGTCCTGTTTACCACTATCTCTCCAACATCTGAAACAGGGCCTGGTAATTAATAAACAGATGCTCAATTTGGGTTTGTGGATTGAGCAAATGAAGGAGATGCCATCTCCTCAGGGAACCCTCTGCCTCATCCCCTTACCTTCCCATGTGCGTGGCAGACCCCACCCTGGCACAGATATTGCAGGCTGCATTGTCGTAGCCAGGCACATCTGCGTTTCCTCCCTGGAGCGTGAGCAATTTGAGAGCAGGGATGTGCTTGATTCCTGGGAGACTCGGTAGTCACCACAGCTCCTGGCCCATTGTAACTGCTCAGTGAATGCAATTGCAGTGATCATTGCCTGGATGTGGCCACTCATTTTGCATACTTCATCTCATTTACATTCTAACAGAAATCCAACAAGTAGATGATATTATTCTCATTCTGCATAAGATGAATCTGCAAGGTCGCACAGCTGGGACAAATTGGAGCTGAGTGTCAAATCCACAGCTGTGACTCCTGACCCCTCGCTGTCTACGCTTATGCCCCATGTGGCATATGCTTATCTTCCGTAGCCCTGATTCCACCCGTTCTTTAGTGATGGCCTCCTCCAACTGGCATTGCTAACCAGTACAATGATTGCATCCTCTGAACACCTATAACATTTATTTGGCACTGGTGCATACTGCCTGAGGGTAGATGCTACTTTTTTATTACTCCTGTCCTCTCTCTAGCCAGAGCAGAGGCCCCTAGAAGGTGGGTCTCTGAAATGGTTGTAGCTTTTTTGGCACAGGACCCCTCATACTGTAGGTACTCAATAAATATTGGTTGACTGATTGATTGACTCCTCCAACTCAGCAAACTTGCCCTGAACTGGAGGAGGGAGTAGGGGGAATGTCAGCTATATGGAGCATAAAATAAAGCAGATGTGGAGGTTTGCAGCCAATGAAACTGAAGATTCCCCAGGTGGAGCTGGTGGCGTTGGCAGCCCCAGGGGTGCTGTTGAGGAGAATCGGTTTTCAGGCCAATAATGCTGGCTGCTTGGCTGAGTTGGATGGATGGTGAAGGCAATGAGTGACTCCGTGTCTTGCATAGCGGCCAGCCCCTCAGCCAGCTGGATGTGTCCTTTTCTGTCTCCACATGTGGGAAATTCGGTCTTTGGGCTTCTGAAGAACAGTGGGCAAATGCCCCTTCTTATCAAGGCAACAGGAGACAATCCTTGGGAGTTTTGATGCCGAGAAACTGGGCTCTGAGGTCCTCTTCTGCACCCCAGAGACAAGTCCTTACTTGCTTTCCCTGACCACTGTGTTCCTTCCTCCCTCTGGCCTCCTCTCTGACTTCCAGGCCCTCTTCTCTATCAAATGGAATAATCTCAACCACTCATATGTATCTAGCATCACTGATCTATGTTTAAAATGCTGTTGCCTGTGCCTTATTTAATTTGATCCTCACAATGACCCTCTGAGGTCTGTGAAGCTAGTATTATCTCATTTGACAGATGGGGAGACGGAGACACACAGAGGCTATGGAATTTGTCCAGGTCACACAACTGACATGTCTTTGGCTTGTGACCAGAACCTGGGCCACCACTTCTAGAGCAGATGTGGTCACCACATCTGGCCGGTAGGCCAGTCCTCACCCTGTTCTGTATCTCAGAGTTTGGGGTGGGGGACATGTAGTCTTTGAGTTCCAGGGTGATGAATCCAAGAGCAATATTGGTCTAACGGGCTTTCCTTTCTCTCCAGCTCTGTGGCTGTGGGCTTCTTGGAGTGGGCATCTGGCTCTCCGTGTCCCAAGGCAACTTTGCCACCTTCTCCCCCAGCTTCCCCTCGCTGTCTGCAGCCAACCTGGTCATCGCCATAGGCACCATTGTCATGGTGACAGGCTTCCTCGGCTGCCTGGGGGCCATCAAGGAAAACAAGTGCCTCCTCCTCAGTGTAAGTAGGACTCTGTATCCCAACCCTCTAAACTCTGGATCTCCCTGCACTTGGCACTGAGACAGACAAGGTCAACTAGGTGCCCAAACTGAGCCGGGGAAATTGCTTCTAGAATGTTCTATGCCTAACCACACCCCTCTTCCTCATGATTGGCTATCCCTGCTCCTAGATGTCCCTCCCACTCTTTGATCAGTTGTCTGCTTCTACTTTATCTTCCTTCTGTAGCTCTCTGGGTTTCCTCAGGAATAGGTGACCCGGCCAGTACCTTGGAAGCCCCGCCTAGGTATAACCTGTCCCCTACCTCCCCATCATCATTTTTGTTCTGAGTTTGCACCCATCCCTGCCATTACCATCAGGTGCCCATGTCTGGATCTTTTCTTTCCAGTTTTTCATCGTCCTGTTGATCATCCTCCTAGCAGAGTTGATCTTACTTATCCTGTTTTTTGTCTACATGGACAAGGTAAGCACCACAGGAAGGGAGGGGGCATATGGAATGTTATTCCCCTTGGGGTTGGGGCTAGGGCAATTCAGTGTCCTTTCCCTGGGCAGATGACAAGGGCTAGCAAGTATGAGGAAAGGGGAATGGAACCAGGACAATCGGACCACCTAGGAAATGCTCAGGTGAAAGATTCTGATTGGGTGTCACATGGAGTTAATGGGAGAGTTAATTACTTTGTGTTGTCATAGGAAGTGGAATGCTCTAAATTACCCACTGGTAGAAGGGTCTACATAGTTCAATGTGACCACTTGATAAACAGTTTAGAGATGGGACTCAGAACTCACCAGCTGGTTGGACTGGATGATGAGAAGGTTATCTGTTAAAAACAAGGAAGGATGTTCCAGATAACACTGGTGAATAGGGCTAACTGGGGAGGTAGATGAGTTTCCTTTTCTAGAGACTTCTGAGAACAGGGTGGCTGTTCCTAAGCCTATACTATACCTTGGGGTTCAGGAGGATGGGGTGACTGCTGGTGACCTTGCCAGGTAGGAAAGTTTGCACTCAGATTGGAGAACCTTCTTATTAGTACCACCAAGAATGATTGGCCAAGCTTTCAGTCTCTTAATGGGACTTATTTTGCCCTGATGAAGCAGTGGTTAAGCACTCAGCTGCTAACTGAAAGACCCACGGTTTGAACCCACAAGCTGCTCCATGGAGAATGATGAGACTGTCTGCTTCCATAAAGATTACAACCTTGGAGACCCTATGGGGCAGTTCTACTCTGTCTGGTAGGGTCGCTATGAGTCAGGTTTATCCTAGAACTAAATAAATATCTGTCCCCTGGGTTCTTGAAGTCGTTGCCCAAGCCGTTGAAAGTCAGAGGCATTATTAGAATTAGAAACAATAGTTCTTGGGCTTTGCACTTGTGAAAGAGAAGTAATAATAGCATTTGTTTAGGGAGTCCTTTGTGCCAGCCCTGTTCTTAGCTCTTTGTAAGCATTCTTTCATTTATCCTCACAACATGAGGTAGATCCTGTTATTCCAACCTTAGGGACAAAGAAGCAGAGGCAAGAGAGATTTAGTCACTTGCTAGTGAGAGGTGGAGGTACAGTGACTGAACTGGCCAGCCTCTCGCCCCTAGGGTGTATAAAACAAACAAACAAACAAACAAAAAAAAAAACCAAACTCACTGCCATCGAGTCAATTCTGACTCATAGCAACCCCTTTTGGGTTTCTGAGGTGGTAAATCTTTACGGAAGTAGATTGCCCAGTCTTCCTTCTGTGGAGTGGCTGGTGGATTTGAACTACCAACCTTCTGGTTAGCAGTCAGATGCCTTAGGTACAACACTATCAGAACTCCTTAGGGTGAAAAAATATATGTGTGTGTGTGTGTGTGTATATATATGGGGGTGGGGGTATATATATATATATATATATATATATATATATATATATATATATATATATATATACACTCACACCCACACACACCCTTACACACACACACATATTGTTGTAGAAATATAACTGGCACAACATTTGCCAATTCAGCATTTTCCAGGACTTATTTTGATAGGGGCAGAGCCTTCCACCTAGCACAGGGGAAGATGCTGGCAGGGGGCAGGGGGTGGCAGAGTGTCCTGGGTATGTGGCTTCAACCAGAGAAGTTGAGGCACTCTGTCTTTTTGCCTTTTAATATTACAGCCCTGGCCCTAAGAGCTTAACTCCTCTGAGAGTCACCAGGTACATCAGAGAATACTGCATACTGAAGCTGAGAGAGTAAATTTACATCCATCCCCAACCCCATCAGGCCAGCAGAGCCCCCACAGGTGGGGCAGAGCCCTCCGGGCCGGTGCCTCCCCTCCTCACCTTCACCTAGTTGATCTAGGCCAGGTTGGGAAGATGAGCTGCATCCTGATTCGACTAACCTGTCCAGTCTGCCTTCAACCTGATAGGTGAACGAGAATGCCAAGAAGGACCTGAAAGAAGGCCTGCTGCTATACAACACGGAGAACAACGTGGGGCTTAAGAATGCTTGGAACATCATCCAGGCTGAGGTGAGGGCTGGGGCCACTGGGGGCTCAGCCCAGTGGGAACCTCAGGGCCCTCTACCCAGGGCACAGAGTTGGGAGACACTTGAACCTTCTGGTTTGTAACAGGGTGTGGGGAATACAACCCTCTGGGACATTTGCCTGAATTGCTGGCTCAGGCGTGGTACAGTGGGATGGACTGGACAGGGATGAGAATGAGGGTGGAGGCAGGTGGGCAGAGTGTGGATGCAACAGTGGACTGGTCTAAGGGAGCTATGGTGGGTGGCTAAGCAGGCAACTGGGCAGGGTAGATAACTACAAAGGCAGATGATCAGCTGAGGCTTTGTTTTCTGAAGATTTGGGATGAGTGACAGACTTTATTTTAGCAACAGATTTGCCTTCTTGATCATGCCTGGCTCAGGCAAAGAGATGCTGGTTTTAAGATGAAAACAAGTCGATATGCCCTAGACAAACCATTTTAAGCAGAGGGAGGGGCTGGCAGTGGGTCAGCTGGCAGCCAGCTGGGAGGATCCACAAAGCAAAGAGATAGAGGTGCTGGTGGGAGAGGAGGGAGCAGTCACTTACTTCCCTGTGGGGCTATTGAGACATGAAGAAAGACTGAGAAGAAGGCCCTTTGTCTACTGCCTGAAAGGTTCACTTGGGCTGGGGGAGGCCCAGAGGAGCCCCTTGGCATGTTCTGAGCACCCCTCTCCATCCTTATTGGCAGATGCGATGCTGTGGCGTCACTGACTACACAGATTGGTACCCAGTGCTAGGGGACAACACAGTTCCTGATCGCTGCTGCATGGAGAACTCCCAGGGCTGTGGGCGGAATGCCACCACCCCCCTGTGGAGAACGGTGAGGCTGGCTCCTTGGCTCCGTTAGGTGATGGGTGGTCTGGCAGAGGAGACCTAGTGGGGAAGTGGGTGCAGGATGCTAAGGAAGTGACTGAATGTGAGGTGAAGTAGGGAGCACATGGGGCTGCAGCCAAAGAGCAGGTGGGACATAGAGGAGAACTAGATGGTAATGGTCTGAGGTGGTGTTTTGGGGCCTTATGAGGACCAGGGACCGACGGTCACAGAGGGACAGGAGGTAAGAGAAAGGTCAGAGGCTGAAGGGGAGAGTAAGGTGGGTGCTGGGCATGAGTGGGAGCTCATGGTCATGGCAGGACCTTCATTGTATAGTCCTCACTCCCCAGGGCTGCTATGAGAAGGTGAAGATGTGGTTTGATGACAACAAGCATGTGCTTGGCACAGTGGGGATGTGTATCCTTATCATGCAGGTAAGTGGGATGTCCCTGCCACTGGCCCCAGGCCAGAGGAGGAAAATGAAATGTGAAGGAGTTAAACAATGTGTTCGTGCTCAGAGGAGCGGGGACTTGACCCCAGGCTACCTGGAGTCCCTGCACTTACCCAGCTGTGCTCCGCTGCCTCCTGGACTTTGCCCTGGTGGGACCTTCTCTGAAGATGCTGGTCCAGGCAAAGAGGCACTGGCTGTAAGATGAAAACAAGTCTCTGTGTCAGACAGAACCACCTCCTTAGCACTCCTGAGTGTGACCTTGGTGGGTGTATCCTGTGGCACCCGTGTGCACTTGTTTGTGAACGTGCCTGTCTCCTGCTCTATAGGGACTTTTTACCCTGTACTAGTCCCCAGTTTAGGAGCTCTGGTAGCATAGTGCCTAAGGCACTTGACTGCTAACCAGAAGGCTGGTGATTCAAACCCACCAGCCACTCCTCCGAAGGAAGGTTGGACAATCTACTTCTATATTGATACTGTCTTGGAAGCCCAAGGAGGGGTTGCTATGAGTTGGGTCCAACTTGATGTCACATAACAACAACAGTCCCCAACTTACAACATATTTGAGTTATGACGAACCACACTTAGACTGTCTTTTTTTTTATCCCCTCCATCTTATTTTTACTAATATATGTGTCTGTATGTATTAAAATATATCTGGAAGTTTATGTGTAATGCTTCCAATCCCCAAGACAAGTAAAACAAAAAACAAAAAAAAACCCAAACTCATTGCCATTGAGTCGGTTCCAACTCACAGTGACCTCTTCTTGGGTTTCTGAGGCAGTATCTTTACAGAAGTAGCTTGCCCAGTCTTCTTTCTGAGGAGTGGCTGGTAAGTTTGAACTGCCAGCTTTCTGCTTAGCAGTCAAATGTCTTAGGCTCCTAAGTAAAGAACCGATTAATAAAGATACTTATAATAAAAAGGTAATAATAATGAAAACTTGGGGGGGGGAAGGTATTTGACTTATATCAGAATTGACTTAACAGTGGAATTGTCAGAACAGAAACCCATCATAAGTCAGGGACTACCTGTACTGCACTGAATTAAACCTGAGTCCTCAGATAGTGATATGAACACAGGCTCAAAAGCCAGGCTCCATGGAGGTCTACCTTGGCTTCACCACTTATTAAATACATGACCTGGGCAAGTTACTTATCTTCTCTATGCCTTAATTTCCATAACAGGATAATGCGTGTGATAATAGTGTCGCTTCTTAGAATTGAGTGGGTTTAATACCTGTGAGCACCTAGAGCAGTAGAAGACACATAGGAAGCACTCAGTAAGTCTTAGCTATTACTGCAACCATTTAATGAGCAACCGTTCTTTTCAAGGCACAGTGGTTAAGGCATTGGGCTGCCAACTAGAATGTCAGCAGTGCAAGCCCACTAGCCACTCCACAGAGGGAAGAGGAAGCAGTCTGGTTCCATAAAGATTTACAGCCTAGGAAACCCTATGGGGCAGTTCTGGTCTGTCACATGAGGTCACTATGAGTCCGAATGGACTCAATGGCACACAACAACAATAAAAGGCAGCACAGTCAGTAAGCCAGATCTGCTGCCATCAGAGAGATCACTCGGTATTCCAGAATCATTCCGAAAGGGCTCACCATCAGTTTCAGTTCCTCTTCCCTTTCTGAGTTCCTTTATGCATCTGATCTTGTTCGGTTCTCACAGTCACCCCCTACAAGGCAGATGATTTCCATTTTGTAATGAGGAAACTGAGCCTCTGAGACAGCTCTGAGGGCCTTGAGCCTGGATTTGATGCCAGAGGTCCTCTCTGGGTGACGCTGAACTGGACACTGTAATTGCAAAAAAAAATCAGTTGCCATAAAGTCAGTTCTGACTCATGGTGACTCCATGTGTATCAGGGCAGAACTGTGCTCCATAGGGCTTTCATGACTGATTTTTCGAAAGTAGATCACCAGGCCTTTCTTCCGGGATGCCTCTGGATGGACTTGAACCCCCACCATTTTGGTTAGCAGCATTAACCCTTGGCACCACTCAGCGACTCCATTGCCTTGATTCCATAAGCCTTTTCAATCCTCCCAGTGGTTCTGTCTACTTGTTCTAGTCCCCCTGTGACTCAGCTTACGAGGCTGAGGTGAGATCCCAGGCTGCTGGGCCTTCCGTCTAAGGGCTGTTCCCCTGTATTTTTCAGATCCTGGGCATGGCCTTCTCCATGACCCTGTTCCAGCACATCCACCGGACGGGTAAAAAGTACGACGCATGAGCAGGCGGCTGGGAGCGCCCCAGCCCCCCACCCGGACACTGTACGAGGAAAGAAGATTTGAGCTTTGTGTCGCCTACCCACACTCTCCAGACTGCTGACCCCTGTACCCACCTCCCTGCCCAGCCTGCCTTCCCCGCCCGCTCCACCTCAGCCTGACTCCTGTGTGGGTGGAGGGTCCGGGAGGAGGAGGCACGTAGAGAACTTGGGGAGCTAAGGGCACTGGACTCTGCACCTGCATCTGTGTATTTGCCAAAGAAGACAGGGTGGGCTGGGGGAGGAGAGGCCCCCAGCACTGACATGTTTCTGCTCCCTGCCCCTCCTCACACTGACACTTTGTCCCTCCTTGTGGAGAGACTGCCCCAGCAGAGGTCACTGCCATCCATGCCACCCCATGGGAACGTGGGAGAGCTGGTGGGGGTAAGGGGCCTGACCAAATCCAGGCCAGGCCCCTGGGAGCATCTTGCCCAGGCTTTTTATACCTTACAGTATAACTTTTTTATTTTATTTTACTCTGATTATGATTATTCAGGAATATTATCTCGCAGATACATTTAGGGTTAGCTTTCTGATTTATAACTTTTTACTGTGTTGATTTCTTTAATGGTTTGATTTTTGTTTTCCTGAGGGTGGGGGATGGGTGGGGAGAGAGGACATTGTCCAGTTTCAATCAGGACAGACCACAGTGTGGCACCCAGGAGGCCCTTGGGTGAGATGTGCCAGGCCTTTGCTCAAATGCACTGAGAAGGAGCAGCATGTGCTTTGGATGGAGGACCATGGCCTGGGTGTGGCCAGGAGGTGGGCGCCCTGCAAAGATGGCACTCTCTGGCCTGACGTCTGGGATTCTACACTGGGGCAGAAGAGCCTGGAAAAGCAAGTGAAGTTGAGGAGCACGAAGCAAGCATGGAAGAGGATCCTACATGGAGTGATGGCCTATGCTAGCTGAGGGTGAGAGGCCTGAGCAATGGGGGAGTCCTCTGGGGTGCAGCTAAGTGCTTTGCCAGGAATGCAGCTTGAGCTGGCGTGGGTCCTTACACTTTCCACTGATGAGCGTATTTTCCCTTCTTCCTCCTGCCCTCTCTGGCACGGGAGGCCTCCCCTTCCATACCACGCGGGCATGCCCGCATCAGGTTTTGCAGACCCATTACTTTCACACACATTCCTGCTAGAAACTCTCAGACAAATACCTCTCTAGTTCAGATGCTGCTCACTGTTCTTACATTGCTTCTGGAAGGGGAAGCAGTCCTTAAGTATTTGCTGCCCAGACGGTGGCAAAGGACCCGTGACCACTAGGAGTTAGCTGGAGGTAGAGGTGGCACCCGCAGTTGTCCCAGCCAGAATCACTTGGCCTGCTTGTCCTTGCTGGGAAGGGGTGCAAGATGCCCATCGGTTCTCAGGACCCTTGTCTCTTTCTCGGGGTTCATCCATCTCAGAGGCGGGGTCTCCACGGAGGGTGAGTGGCGATCATGTCTTGGGTGATCCCGAGGATATATGATAGAGAAGTCAGACTGGATCTTGTTACAGCTGTCTTGCAAAGAAAACAGCTGAAGTCATGGCGTGTGACATGAGCAAGTGAGGTGGGGTTGGGTGGGGTATCCAACTGCAGCGGAATCTGACTTATGCTGACCTTGTTTAACATTTTGTGGTTTTTTAAAAAAAAGAATCTGTGAGACTGAGTTAAAAAATGTTACTCCCCGGCTAGCTTGGCTCCAATGGTAGTTTGATGGCCAGGACTTTGTGCGGTGGCTGCCTTTTTCCTATATGTGGCTCTTTACTTGGATTTTCCACTGGGGCCTTGTCTCTTCTCCAATCTTCATCCTCCTGATCCAAGACATGGCCACCCAGACAACCAGTAACTCATCCATTCACCTTAAATAACATGCAGATTGGGACCAGAAGTATAGGACTTTTGGCGTGTTCAGGATTCATGCTTTTGGGGGGCAGGGGTTGGGATGAGAGGTGGAGAGTAGGATGGCATCAGAGAGCAGACAGGGGCCAGAACACCTCCCTGAAAGGGGAGTGGTGGTGCTGATAAGAAATGCCAGGAAGGCGGATTCCAGAGGGGGCCAGCACACGGCAGAACAAAACTGCCTGCCTTTCACCCTCTGGTCGGTACTTCTGGTAAGGAGCTTTTGTTACGTTCCTGGAGCTCCAAACTACAGAACACAGAGCAGACACGCTACTACAGAGAGACTCAGAGCAAGCAAGTGTTCAAGTTGCACAGTGGGACCCGGTGCATACTGAGTTTTGCTGTGGGTGGGGTGGGGTGGGTTTGTTTATGCCTATCAATGCAATTTTTCATTTTTGTTAAAATCAGCAACAAAAGCCTAGTACAGTGGGGGGCAGATGGCCTCCCTGGCAATCTTACATTTCTGGAGGCCTTCAGGGGCATCCTCTGGCCCTGGAGCCTTTGCCACAGCCCCTCTCTTCCTCCACAGACCCCATCTCATCCGTTTACAGAGCCTTGTCCATGGTTCCCCAAGCTACCTTCTTGCCTCACCCTGTGCTTGCTTGGTTGTCACTTGGCCAAAGTCTACATTGGGCCAAAGCCTCTGTGGATAAGAGGGGTCCCATGAATGGTCCTCATGCCACACAGGAAGGCTATGTGGGGTGCTAGTGATGGTGGTCAGGATCTCCTCAGCTTCTCCTGACTTGGATCTCATTGGGGCAGAGTTACTGGAGTGAATTCTGTCACTCAGCTTCGCTCGCTAAAGTCAGAGTTAGTTCAGTCAGATCCCATGCAAGCAGCTTACGGACTTGATTCAGAAGTCCCTTAGGATTTTCAGACAACTTCAAGGAATATCTAGTGTAGATTCAGCCCTCCTCTGCAGCACTCTCTCAGAGGAGGTGGGAGGGTAGGGCTGAGAACTCTCTGGGAGGGTGGGCAGCAGGTGTCAAGCACAAGTCTCCACCTGCCGTGCCCTCCACGCTCAGCTGCTCCTCTGCTGCCCACCCCACACCAAGAGCTGGAGCACTGTCTCACACAGCACACGCACACATACACACACACACACACACACAGCCAGCATGGCCCTACATCTTGGGCTCTCACTCTGGAAATGTTACTGATCTGACCCCAGACCCAGGCCCTCTCACAGATGTTCTGGCTTTGACTTGGAACAAGGTGGCCCTCTGTCCTTGCTTTGGTGGCCAAAGAGCAATTGAGGTGGATGAATGTGACTATCCCCTCCTCTGCAGTCCCCTGCCCACCCACTGGTGGAGGTGCTAACTAGCAGGGACATGGCATAGGATGGGAGCTGGGTGCAAGGTGCTTGGAGTCGCTCCTTGCCCCTCAGCCCTTCAGAGTCCGTCCAGCCCCCCTTATGTTGACATTCGCCCATTTCCCTCTTTTTCACCGCAGTGATGCAGTCCTTGGGAGTGGGGCTTGGCTCCCTGCCTGGAAGGGGGTTTTGAGGGGGGGTGCCTTGGGAAGCCCTCCCACACCTGTCTGCCTGCCCCAGGGCAGAGCAGGAGAGCTTGCCTGTGGGTTTCAAATGCACTTTTCTGCTTGCAATGCCATACCTGTACGTTTCCTTCATCCTGGTCCTGGCTTTATTTAACACCATGTTTTTAGCATGTTTTTAAATAAAAACCAATAATGTGTCAAAAGCACCAGCAGACTGTCTCTTTGTGGTGTTTTTTTGTTTTTTTAAAACTCAGCCAAGACCATGGCTTATTTCATGCGATGGTGATTATGAGGGACCCAGAGGGAGATCAGACACCAGTCCTGCCCTTTGCCAAAGACACCCCACAGTGAGGAGTTGAGCTCCCATTCCAGGGTCAAGGTTAAAGATTTGGAGGGGAGTGTCTCAGTC